ATATACAGGGTGTTCAGTAAGTCAGGAAACGGGTTTCTATTGTTCTCATTGTTACAAACAATGAGAACAATAGAAACCCGTTTCCTGACTTACTGAACACCCTGTATATATAATTGATGTCACGCACTCGTGTACGGGTACGAAAACTCTAAAGGTAAATTTTCAAAAGATGGTTTATTATGAGGTAAGGATGCAACCAACAAAATAGTTGTTACACGTATTACGAGTTTTAATTAATATTACTGAGTAATTATAATATAATATTATGTTTCAATTTATTTAACATATTAATTGAAAAATGGAAATTAATTTATAATAGTGAATATAATATACACATAGCTAATTGTTATTTTATGACATTGCTGTCACAGTCACGGATTGTTTATTATCAATTATAACTATCCATTGATATACTTTTTGTATTGTCAGTTAGTGTATTTATAAACTCACAACAATGTACCTTACTACCATTGATAATAACGATGCTGTGTACCTGCTAATATCGATGTCATAAAAAACCAATTAGCTACCTGTATTTGTAAACCCTTGTGTATTATACCTGTATATTAAATTAAAAAATTTGAAACATTAAATGTTTATATTTAATAAACAAATAAAGGTATATTAAAAATTCAAATGCCATCTACTATTAAATTAAAAGCTCAAACATTTTATTAAATTCAAAATATCTACTCTCATTTAAAAAAACAAAGTTGACACCCTTACTAGGTATAAGGGATGAACTTAAAAAGTATTACATAGTTAATAATTCAAGAATAATGTGTAACTAAGGATAATCAAAAAAAAAATGTTTATTGTAATTATTATTATTCTGTAAGTAATTGAGTGGGTTATGATAACAAAAATCACTCTGTATACAACAATGTATTTTATGGTTGCATTTGCAAGTGAATTTTATTAAATAATGTGACTTTTGTTTATATTACTCAATTATCTCAAAAAAGGTCTTACTGCATTTAATGGATAGTAAACAAATATTAAGTATCATTGATGCGCTGTAAGTTGCCTTGAAATAATTTGGAAACGCATTTTATAAATGAATATAAAAAAGTAAATGTGAAAATATGATAACATAAATATACCTAACAATTTTTAATAATAAAATTTAATGATCAACTAGTGATTGATATAGTTTATATTATATTACACATAGATAATAGTAGTATTTAAAATAATTTTTAATATTTAACTAAAAATTTTTGTTTGTAAATTTCAATAATTTTTTTTAACTAATTTATGTTTTGTATAACAACATAATTAATTGTAATAATATTTATTATAATAAATATATTTTTATTAATAAAAATATATATTAAATGTTTTTTTATGTTCCTAAGTCAATTAGGAAATCTTACTCAAACTGGGTGGCCTTAGTTCCCCTATTTTCGATTATAGCTACTTCTACGAATAATTGATTTGTTTAATAAATTTGTTTAATTATTAACGATTTTATTTCAAAATTATATTTTAGGTAAATATGTTTGTCTAAAAGGCAAGTATAAGAGTCAAACCTTTCTTTTGTTATTTATGACCGTCCATTCGATCGACCGTTCGACCCACCGTTCGCTAACGGATGGTTTCTATTATCCGTTGTGAACGAACGTTTTTTATTGTTCTGAACGGTCGTCCGTTCGATGGGGAGATTATCGTTTCCGCCAAAATTGACCGTATCGTTTCCGCCAAGCATCGTTTCCGCCAAATCTGAATAAGGTCGGTTTTTCGTTTCCGCCAAACCGATAGTTTATACCTGTCTACAAATAGAGGCTTGAGAACCACTGGTTAAAATATTTGCCAAAATAACCCGATAATAATTATCTACTTATCATTTAATCGAACTTTTTCCTATTCTATTATTGTTAGTTAGATAGCAGTGTACTGATCGGTATATCGATAAATATTTTGCCATCCGTTCTTTTTTATTTTATTTTTTTAATTAAAATGTCATTTGAATATATCAGAAGTAAGCGGGGCCAACAAATGATTTTATTGAATAATTTTAAGTTTCGTTTTGCATATAAAGCAATACAAACGGGTAACATACGTTGGCGTTGTTTTGTAAAAGAATGCAAAGGTACCATTCACGTGAATGAGCTTGATGAAATTATTGATCAAACAGGTATTTTTAAAATTTTTAGTTAAATTGATTAAAGCTGACCTTATTTTAAATTAGTTTTAATATATCTTATAGAACATACATGTAATGGCCCTTGTTCTGATCCCATAATTATGAGACAAAAATTAGCAGGCGCTTGTAAACGCAAAGCCGTAGACGATATTTGCCAAAGACCGCAAAAAATAATTTTAGGGGAAATTCAAACATTAAGTAATAATAATTTTACGACAACGGATGTGTCATGTATTCGCCAAACTATTTATCGCACTAGAAGACAATTTTTTCCTACTAATCCAGAATCTATAAGTGAATTACATACAATTATTGATCATACAGAAATACTAACTACGCGCGGAGAACAGTTTTTATTACACAACGATCATGAGAAAAATATTATTATTTTTTCTTGTGATACAAACCTCAAATTTCTTTGCAATTCCAAATCAATATATGTAGATGGAACTTTTCAGTATTGCCCAAAACATTTTGTACAATTATTTACCAT